CTTCATTGGAGCCTATAGCCAGCACTACCTCCCCATGGCGGGTGGGCCCCAAGAGCACAACTTGCTGGCCCAGGGAGGCCCGGTTCCCTACTGACCACCAAGACTCCAGGACTTGCTAGCTACCTGGTTTCCTGCCCTTCGCAGCCAGCTGTCGCTCCTCCCCTCCTGCTCTGGCCTTTTGGTGTAGTGGTGAAGTGCGCGGACTCTAATCTGGGAGAACCGGGTTTGATTCCCCACTCCTCCACTTGCACCTGCTGATGTGACCTTGGGTCAGTCACAAGCTCTGGCACAGCTGTCCTTGAAAAAGAGCAGTTTGTGTCAGAGTTCTCTCAGCCCCACCCACCTCACAGGGTGTCTGTTGTGGGGAGGGGAAGGGAAAGGAGTTTGTAAGCCGCTCTGAGACTTCTTCTGTCAATCACCGAGGTGTTCTCTCAAGAGCAGTCCTTGAAAGAGCTCTCTCAGCCCCACCTACCTCACAGGGTGTCTGTTGTGGGGAGGGGAAGGGAAAGGAGTTTGTAAGCCGCTCTGAGACTCCAATCTCCTCCTCCCTCTTCCTCTTCTTCTTCTTCCTCTTCTTCTTCCTCTTCTTCCTCCCCTTCTTCTTCTTCCCCTTCTTCTTCTTCCCCTTCTTCTTCTTCCCCTTCTTCTTCTTCTTCCTCTTCTTCTTCCTCTTCCTCTTCTTCCTCTTCCTCTTCCTCTTCCTGCCAAGTCTACTTCTCCCCCTCAGCCTACCCTTGAGTAGGCCTTTACTGCCAAAGCAGTCTCTACCTCCAAGGAAGCGAATACTGGCAGTTTTTGGCCCTGCCTGCCCTTTAGGTGACCTTGGGGCTCACTCTTTCCCGCCTCCTGGTAGCTAAAGTGTGGCCTTATCTTGGGCCTGTTCTTGGGTTCCCTGCTCCACACTCTGACCATGGGGCACGATAGCTGCTCTTCAGCGTCACCAGAGGCCCCTGAGGGCTAGTAATGCTGAGAGTAATTAACGGAGACCCTGCCATTACGCCCCGTCCGTCTCCTCTCAAGTATGGAGGTGACCTTCCAGCGCCTTCTTTGAAGCGGGGTGATTGGCTGTGTGCAGTTTTCTCCCCTGTCTCATTCCTCCCCCTTGCAGCCTATAGCCAGAATCTTTTTGTTGAGGGGCAAGTTGGGGGAAGCTCCATCCATGCAGTGGCTCGCCCCAGAGCACTCTCATGGCAGCCTGAGTCGCTTGGGGCTTGAGCTCAAGTCCCTTCACGGCTCAGGCTCCCCTCTGAGGGGAGGGAGAGGGGTGACGGCTGCATGGCCTCGCCAGGTTTTCCTGTTCCCGCAGCCGGCTTCTCAAAATTTGAGGTGGTGGCCGTGGAAGCAGGAAGAACCGGTGAGGCTGCACCACTCCCTCCCCTCCTGCTCGGAAGCAGGAAGACCCAGCGAGGCCCTGTGGCGACCATAGCCAAGCAGAAGGGGAGGGAGAGGCATGGCCAGCTCCAGAAGGAGGAAGACTCGACAGGGCCGCCCCTCTCCCTCCTCTGAGAGGGCCGGGCATATTCGTGGGGGGTGTTGGCCTCGTCAGCCTCCCCTATGCTACGGGCCTGCCCTTGTCATCTTTCCCCCTGTAAACCGAAAAGCCCAAAAATATTTAGCCTTTCCTCCTGTCAAAGGTCTTTTAACCCCTTGTAATTTTTGTTGTCCCTTTCTGCGACACTTTACAGTATTTGTTGTTGTTGTTCAGTCGCACAGTTGAGTCCGACTCTTCGCGACCCCATGGACCAGCTCCCGCCAGGCCTTCCGGTCTTCCGCCGTCCTCTGAAGTTGGCTCAACTGTCTAACCATCTCATCCTTTGCCGTCTCCGTCTTCTTTGACCTCCAGTCTTTCCCAGCATCAGGGTCTTCTCCAGGGAGTGCTCCCTTCTCATTGGGTGGCCAAAGTCTTTGAGCTCCAGTTTCATTATCTGGCCTTCCAGGGAACAGTCAGGGTTAATTTCTTTTAGGACTGACTGATTTGATCTTCTTGTTGTCTTTTATCTATAACTCTTGAAAGCTGATACCTTGAAAATCGTGTTGGTCTCTAAGAGGCTACTTGGACTCGAATCTAACTGCCAGGCACCCATTGTGGCTTGGGTACCTGTGTGTTATGTGTACACTTAATGGAGCCTGTTACCTCATGTTAATGTCTTTGGAGAGCCAAACGGAATACTGAATAAATGTACTAAACTGGCAAATTGGATGCAGAGTGATACTGTATTCACAGCACAAGAAGGGTCTCAACTAAACTCCGTCTTTATAACTACATTAGTTAATATCCTGTGTGTGTTTGTTTAGCAGAACAGTGTGCAGCATTGAATAGAAAGGGGCCATGGCGCAATGGTAAACTGTGTGCTTTGCCAGCAAACAATCTGAAATTCTGTCCCCCAGTTATATTCCCTCCGGAAGAAAATGCCTGAGATCCTGGAGAGCAGCTGCCAGCCAGAGCGGACAATACTGAGCTAAACAGACCATTGTTCTTACTTGGTATAAGGCTGTCGTAGCACAGCTCCTGTACAGATCCAGCCGCCTGTCTCTTGCCTGCAAGCCCCAAATTACTACTGTAGGCATCCGATGGACAGACATGGGAAGGGAATTATTTTATTTCATTTCATTTCTACCCTGTCTTTCTCATCACTGGAACTCAAAGCTGCTTACATTATTCTTCTCTCCTCTACTTTATCCCTGTGAGATAGGTCAGGCTGAGTGTGCCTGACTGTCCCGAGGTCATCCAGCACACTTTAATGACAGATCCTAATCCGACACAAACCACTACAAGATGCTGCATCCCAGGGATTCTGACTGATCCGGGCTTCAGCTTGGCGTTTTGCCATTTCCAGCATGAATGGATGATTATGCTTCTTTCTGCTTGTTAGGCAATCCTATGCCAGCTTTTCACTGTTTGATCATAGCCAAAGGTTGTATCCTGTTGGGAGGTGATCCCCCCCCCCCCTTTGAAGCAGGGGAGAAGTTCCGTTGGCCACTTTAGGAGGCCCGAATCCTCTTAAGCGGTTGCCCTCCTGTGAAAGATAGAGCACTGAAATCTAAAACAGCAACACGGGAGCCAATTCTGTGGCTCTGGTCAAAAGACCAGGATGGTGGTTGTTCAGTCACACAGTCGAGTCCGACTCTTCGCGACCGTTTGCATCCATGACACTGTCTAAGCATCTCATCCTTTGCCGTCCCCGTCTTCTTTGACCTTCAATCTTTCCCAGCATCAGGGTCTTCTCCAGGGAGTGCTCCCTTCTCATTGGGTGGCCAAAGTATTTGAGCTTCAGTTTCATTATCTGGCCTTCCAGGGAACAGTCAGGGTTGATTTCTTTTGGGATTGACTGATTTGATCTTCTTGCAGTCCAAGGGACTCTCAAGAGTCTTCTCCAGCACCATAGTTCAAAAGAATCCATTCTTCGGCGCTCGGCCTTCCTTATAGTCCAACTCTCGCAGCCATACGTGACTACTGGGAATACCATTGCTTTGACCATGTGGACTTTTGTTGGCAGGGTGATGTCTCTACTTTTTATCATGCTGTTTAGGTTCGCCATCGCTTTCCTCCCAAGGAACAGGCGTCTTTTAATTTCATGGAGGCCCCTACAAACTCTGTTCACACCCAACCTACATAGTTTGCAGTTTGCACAATGGGTGTGCCTTGAAAAATGCATCACAATTTGCATCTTAACTTTATTTTCTACCAGCTGCACCATAGGTCAGGCTGTCCCTGGTTGTGAGGAAGGGAGAAGGGCTAGTTTAATAGGCCTGTGAACTCAAACTTCTGGGGATATCTTTGGTTAAGCTCCCCTGCCTGAGTAATGGAGTATAAAAAACCAGTTAGTGTATTCCAGCTAGTTTTGCTGGGTCTGGTGTGAACATAAGCTGCCGCCGGAGTGCTGTATTTGTGTGTGTGTGTGTGATAAACCTGTACTGTTTGAAACCAAACATCCCGCCACCCTTGGAAGATTGTTAATATTTACCTTAGTTTTGTGTAGCTTTCTGAATGAACTTTGCTTTCATTTTGTGTGTACTGTACTGTGTGCTGTTCTGGTCACCACACCTTAAAAAGGATATTATAGCTTTGGAAAAAGTGCAGAAAAGGGCAATCCCCTCAGACTTTTTATAATTCCTGCTGAGAGACCCAGTGCAGTGGGGCAGGAGATACATTATTTGACAGGGAAAATCCTGTGGGGTGTCTCGGCTCCCCCTCCCATGACTTCTGACAATCGCATGCTTCCTTGTTTATTCATCTGTATTTTCCTTCTGGTGCAGCTGGCGCTACGCAGCCAAAACACGGGGGGACAGTGGTTGTGCACATGACCAACTATTGGCTTCTGTTTTTGCTGCTTCTTCAAAACATGGTGTGATACCAGCTAGCTGCACCTCATGCCCATTGAAGTTACCTAAATGTCCTACACATGCAGACCAAGAGGCCTAAACACAAAGGGCAGTAAGATACATTTTCCCCCCTTCCCCTTTTTGCAGTGTTTTGTTCTTACCATCCAGCCTGGTGAAGAGTCCTGGAAAACGTGAAAGCTTGCGTGGTGTTTCATGTTACTTTGATTGGTCTTGATAATAAGATTTTCAACACGGGTTTTACTTGCTGGAAGTTGCCGTGCTCCTATGCAAAACGAACTGGTGTGTTGTAAGAACGGAATCCGAGCCCAGTAACACTTGAAAGTCCATCACAGTTTTGGCTTTTGTGTGCCAAACCTCAATTTGTTGCACAGATATGGATGTGAACAATGCCCTCCCACATTCTGACTTGGGTATAAGGGCTGACGGATCTTCATTCTCATTTGTATCTGAAGAAGGGAGCTTTGACTCACGAAACCTTATATCCTGGGAAATTGTGGTGGTTTTTCAGGTACTACCGGACTTGAATTTTGTTCTGCAATGACAGACTAACACAGCTACCTGCATGAACCAGTCTCCATGGGCAATGTGAATGTTGATGCCTTTTAAATTCCGTTAAGACGAGTCTTTTTCTTTTTCTTTCCTCCCCATCACGTTTAGAGGTGGAAAAGGAATGGAAGGCCCCATTCTACTTCATCCAGGGAGCGGACCCTCAGTTTGGGCTCATGAAAGCCTACGCTATTGGTGACTGCAGCAGCGGAGGTGATGAATGGGACCAAGAGCTTACGCTCATGAAGCAAGCGGTGCAAGCCATCAACCAGCTGAGCCCCAAGCCCAAGTTCTTTGTGATCTGTGGCGATCTCGTACACGGCATGCCAGGTAACTAGGTGGAACTTTTGGGCTGGCACAGGACTGGAAAGCTCTGGAGCACTATGCAGCTCCCCAAGCATGTTTGCACAGGTTGTCTTTTTGGGAATAATTCAAAATAATCCCTGCCTTTTGTTTCACTGTCCCATGGAAGCTTGCTGGGTGACTGTTGAACCCTCCAGGGCCGCTTCTCGAGCCAGGCTCTCCATCAGTTTTACAACCTCTCCAATAAAAGGCAGATAGCAGGAGGACAGTTAAGGTTGTCCGTATAACCCTGATGGTTTATTGCAGCTGTTCTCAACCTTTTGTATGTTACATTCCACCAATTGCTCTGTCAGAGAACCTGAGTTCCACCATGATAAAAACAAGTAGCTCACTTTTTTGTTGGGAGGACACTTGTATGTTTACAGGCATTCTCTTATCACCAGTAGTGTGCCCAAAGATCACATGGATAATCTGTAGCAGGTAGGGCCGGCAGGAGACGGCATGTCACACTTGCCATTACACCCGACCATGAGGATTGTAGGAGAGTGAATTCTGAGTGATGGTTATGAAAACCCTGTTTCCCACTGGTTGAGAACCATGAGTTTATTGTATGGCTCATTTTCAATAGCTGAGTCCCAGGTATTGCAGCCTGGAGTCCCACCTGCCCCTTATGGCCTCCACCTGTTGTTGTCAAGGGCCTTCTGCTGCTCACAGGATCCCTTAATGCCCGTAGCAACTGCATCCTCATGACAGAGTTAGGCTTGGAGGCAGATAAGCTGCTGTCCCGGCCAGGAATGCTGACTGCCTGGTCCAGGCGAGGGCCCCGGGCCTTGCCACTTGCCAGGCTTCCTGTCCTCCTCTGCCAGCTGTCTCTCATCCTCTGCTCTGGACTTTTGTTCCCCTCCTTCCTGCTACTCCCACTCCCTGGGTCACTTGACTTTACTCTTCAGGAGGTCTCTACTCCTGAGTAGAGATGCGAAGGCCTGGAAAAAACCCCGGAAAAAATTCGGAAAAAACCCGTTTTTTCCCAGAAGCCTTTTTGTTTTTTTCCGAAAAAATGCAAAAAATTGAAAAAAGAAAAGAAAAGGGGAAAAAATTGATTATGGAACGTTTTATTTTAACATGATGATAAAATATTTTAAGACAAGGTGTTCAAATATTTTCCAAATCATTTCTAAAATATATAATGGTATCAGATTGATCTAATTTCTGTGCACTGAGGACAAGCAAGTCCTAGGTTACAAACTGAACTCTCCAATGCAAGAACAAGATGCATTTCTTCCTTTAGGAGGTGCGATTGTCAGAAGAAAATAAAAAGGTTTCAGTTTTGTTTTTGCATGTGGGTGGGTATTCTGTTTGTAATAATTGTTTGGGTACACTATATTTTTAATATGCTAGTTGTGATAATTTCATGCCAAGTAAAAATGTCCATAGTCATATTTTATGTTCCTAAAGCAACAGAGTGACTTTCAATCTAGAAAACACAAAATAAATGCTAATGCAGCATTTTTCCCAATTTTTCCGAAAATTTCCGTTTTTTCCCGGGAAAAAAAACGGGGGGAAAAACGTTTTTTTCCCGAGCTTCAAAATTTCCGGAAATTTTACATCTCTGCTCCTGAGGCCGTTTTTGCCCCCTTCCTGCCCTTTAAGTGCTCTCGGGGCCCAGTCCTGCCTTTCCCTTCTCCTGTTCCTGAAGTGCCGCTTCTCTTGGGTTTGTTCCTGGGTTTCCGCACTGCACATCCTGATTGGGAATGCCATGGTGATCTTGGGCCAATGCCTTTCAGCCCAACCTGCCCCACAGGGGACCCAGAGCAGCTTACGTTGTTCTCGTCTCCATTTTATCCTCACTACACCCCTGTAGGGTAGGTTAGACAGAGGGTGCAACTGGCTCACGATCACCCAGCAAACTTCCATGTGGCAGAATGGGGATTTGAACCTGGGGCTGTGGTGGCTCAGAGGTTAAGGCGCTGAGCTGCAGACTGGAAGGTCTGTAGTTCGGCAGTTCGAGACCCGAGTGCCGCAAGATGGCGTGAGCTCCCGTCTCTGGCCCCAGCTCCAGCCAACCTAGCAGTTCGAAAGCAAGAAATTGCAAGTAGATAAATACGTACCACCTCGGTGGGAAGGTAACAGTGTTCCGTGCGCCTGGGCGTTTAGTCATGCCGGTCACGTGACCACAGAAACGTCTTTGGACAGCGCTGGCTCTTCGGCTTGGAAACGGAGATGAGCACTGCCCCCTAGAGTTGGATTCAACTAGCTTTCGAGCAAGGGAAACCTTTACCTCCCAGATCTAGTCTGACATTGTTATTATTGTTGTTGTTGTTATTCTTGGGCATTGTATAGCTCGGGGATCCTAAGATTGTCTAGCAGTTGGAAGTTCTAGACGGAGATGAGCACTGCCCCCTAGAGTTGGATTCAACTAGCTTTCGAGCAAGGGAAACCTTTACCTCCCAGATCTAGTCTGACATTGTTATTCTTGTTGCTATTGTTATTCTTGGGCACTGTGTGTAGTATAGCTAGGAGATCTTAAGATTGTCTAGCAGTTGGAAGTTCTAGCTCTTTAGTATTATGCACCACTAGGTGGTGAGTTAGACTTGTTTTTTAGGTAATTCAGAGGTGGTTTGCTGTTTCCTGCCCCTGAATCACAGTCCTGCTATTCCTTGGAGGTCACCCTTCCAAATACTAGCCACGGCTGACCCGGCTTAGCTTCTGAGATCCGACGAGGTCGAGCTAGCCTAGTCTATCCAGGTCATGTTCCCCCACACGTGGGCTCCAATCCCCACACTTCCGTGATGTTCCTTGCGCCACTTTGGGCCAGGTCCACTCTTTATCCATTGCTTCGAGGGCCCACCACACCATATTGTTGCCGTGATGGTAGAATCTGTAGGGAGTACGATGGACACTGCTGTGAGCTCCCTAGGAGGAAAGGTGAGATCAAAATGCACTTGGGGGACATTGGTGTAGTATTGACCTCGTTGCATCCCTCTGAGCCAGGGGTCATTTCCTGCAGGAGCGCACAGGAGCGGAGCTCCGGCAGTAAAGTGCCCAGGGGGCGGGCACATGCAACAAGCTCCACCCCCTGTTCCCAGAAGCCATCAGTCAGAGCAAGAAGCAGCCAGATAAGTTGCAGAGCCCCCCTGGCCCAAAACAGTCCAGTGGCACCTTTAAGTTTTATTCAGCTACAAGCTCTCCCTCCTCTGTGAGGACAGATCTGCACCCCCCCCCAACAGCTAGCAATCCAAAACAGTCCAGTGGAGCCTGAGCGGTGGGTGTTGCCTTCAGACACACTTCCGGTGATGTCAGGGGGTGTGGCATATGCAAATGAGTTATGCTAATGAGCTCCTGCACCTCTTTTTCTACGAAATGACCCCTGCTCTGAGCAATGCTTGAGGTAAAATCCTGCACTTTCTGCCGGGCTTCCCTAACATATCCTCCTGCATTGCCACTTAATGTGCTGTGGGTCCAAAAATCTTTGCATGTCGGGTAGAAATAATGATTCACGGATAGAATGGCCTTTTGTAAGCTGCATACTCGAGTCAGAGCAGAGACAGAAGGCAGCTGGGAAAGGAGCAGGGCCACCCGCCAGTGCTTTTGGATCCTTGGGCTTGGGGTGTGCCTGTGCTCCTGCATTGCAGCTCATTTCTCCTCCTCTTGCAGTTACCTTCTCTCCCCTTCCCTTGCAACTGAGGCTTTTCTGAAGGGAGGGGAGTATGACTTTGTGCACTCCTTTTAACCCTGTTAGCGCTAGCAGGTATAAAAGGAGGGAGAACAGGAGCTGCGCTGTTTCAGAGTGCTCTGGGCTGATTTGGAAGGGGCCCTGGAGGAGGCAGCCACACATGATTCTCTCGTGCTTGACTTCCTTCGGGCACTGCTCCCATTTACAAATGAGAAATCAGGCCGGTGTCTCCCTGGACCCTGGTTGGGGCTCAGCTGCTCCTGAGAGGAGTAACGTCAAGAGTGCATGAGAACGTCAAGAGAGTGTGGAATGTGGCAGTTTAACAAGGTTCTTCCTTTGAGAATCTTCTTTTCCCCCAACCTCCTGAGTTCCTCAGAAAAGTTTTGTGCAGGCATCATGCAAGTAACCTTTGCATTTAAAAAACAATGCCAGTACATTGCTGATTAAAGCAATCTGGCCAGGGGGTCGAAGAGATCAGGAAAAGAACGGGCTCCCCAAGACTGCATTTAACCGGAAAACAGTGCCACACCATCTAGGTAGATCTTCGTCGTTATCGTCCATTGAGCCAGCAGCTAAAGAGGAAATATGAATGTAATCCAGCATGCTTTTGAGCCAAGAATTAGAGAGGTTAACTGAGAGCCCTGTCTTCCCATTTGGCTTTGTATATCCAATTCAGATAATATTCCATTGTTGCGTAGAATTGTTCCAGGCTAAGCTCACTGATTTTGGAGGCCTCAGATAGTGATAATTCGGCATAGATTTGCACTGTTGGCAAGTGCAGTATGTATATTTATGTATGTTAGATATAAGGCCTTGTTGCACGTAATGAGATGGAATTTTAAGTTCTGTTATTGGTGTTTTTGTTTTTCTTTGTTGTGGGTTAGGGTGGAGTTCGATATCTGTAACTTTCAGGTTGCGCTTCTTGTGTTTTGAGTCTTATTTTTGCCATTAGTAGCATTTGTTTTAAATGCCGTTCTTTGTTAACGGGCTTTCCAAAATTAGAAAGAAGCAACGAGAGGGTACAAAAATAATTCAGCCACTGATTGCAATGAAGAAAATGACCTGATTAAAGAAGCTGTCAAAGGAGAATGGGAGCTAGTCTGTCAATACTGCCATATTGTTGTTCTAAGGATCTGAATAACTATCATCTGTGAATAACTGTCTTATATGCAGGAGGCCTTGTGGTTGAACTAGTATATTCTTTTTGTTGTAAAAGTGTGTTGAACTCAAAATAGAATTCTTTGCAAATAATCTAGTTTGGGGCGAGGGAGCAATTTTTCTCCAGGCCAGTTTGGCCAGGGATCCTGGAGGTTTTTTGTCATCTTCTGGGTCACTGGGGGTGGCGGTGGGAACA